TATTGGAGAAAATCACTCCTAGACTTAATACTGTCGTGTCTTTTCTTTAAGTATCTGCTGCAGGTTATTGTTGGAAAGAGGGCACTTGTCTAGATGCATCTTGGGTTTGGTGAACAGGGTTGTTCTTAACCTCTTGTTGGACAGGTGGATAGCTGAAACCTAAGTCAATAATGATGTTTTCTTTTCTCTTTGCAAATCAACATTCTCTCCCTTGCTCATTTTTTGCTTCTTTTCTCAAAGGATCACTTACAACAATATTTTGACCTTTCATGCAGGAAGGCATATATTTAATTGTGACTGTTGCGTGATGAACTCAATGACAAAAGATGTGTGGCATCTCTAGACACAAAGAAGTTTGTATCATGTTCACAATTTTTTTTTTATAGCTGGCCACATCCTTATACCTATTATTGAAATCCATGCCTTAAATGTTTTACATATGAGATGTAAGACCAATATTCTTTTTATTGAAGATTTTACAAATTCCTTTAAAAGAAACCTTACAAATTCCTTAAAAAACCTGCTCATATTGTATTGAGTTCAAATTTCTCATCCTTGGAGATTTTGGGGGCAGTTATTCCTCTCTTTTAGGCATGTTCTATTTTTTGTGTACATTCATAAAATCATAATCTTCCTAGCACCAGCTGATAGGATTTTGTTTTCCTCTTGAGGCATTGGGTGCCCTCATAAGCCCTGTCTTCAGGCTGGTGCTTCAAAGAATCAGTTCCCCTTCGGTCACAATGAGGATTATGCTACTCTGAGGAGGCATCTTGATTCAAATTTCCGTTTGGAAACTTTTATTTTCTGTTGCACAAAGGCATCTAACAATTATCCTTTGCAATTCCTTAATCAGATGGTATACACTCATACAGAATTGATTACTGTACCACCGAGCTTTTCCTGGCAAACATGTAAGAGTTTTTGGGCACCACTTCTGAACTTGGGTGGCTCGAAGTCAGCAGTGGGGCGAGGGAAGGGCCATGGGGCGTGCTGCACACCCTGGAAAGCGATCCATTGTTTCAGGGAGTAACTGCTCTGTCATTGTGGCTCCACAGGTCGAGGGAGAGCATTGTCTCAGGTTCCCCAGGCACTGGTGACTGAGGGGGTCACACCTGCCAGGGTGTGGGGTGTGTGGGGTGGGCTGGGAGGTGATGTGCCTGCCCTGCCCCTGGGCAGCCCTCGCTCCTGCCTTCCCCCTGGGGCTCCCTGCACAAGGTGGCTCTCAGGCTCCAAGCTGGAGGAGTCAGGTCCTTCTCTTGACACCATGTTCTGGTTGTTCTGAATCTTCTTGGTGTTCATTTCCAAAGGTTTTTTTATTTGTCTTCATTTTGTGCTATCTTACTGAAAGTGAGGAAATTTTTCCCTTGGCATGCTTAAGTAAGCAAGAGCTTTTTTGGATTTGTGGGTTTATTCTCTCCAGGCAACCTTAAGCTTTACAGGCTCTATTGTTGAAATAAGACTATTTTAATTTTTTTATAATGCCCTGAAGTACATTTCCTTGAAACATCAAGATTGCAAATTTTTAGTTTTGCAAAACACCATTTGGAAAAGCTCTTACTTTCTTTATCAGAATCAGTTTTGTATATAAATTCAGTGTGTGAGTGGCAAATACTCTTTTGAAGAGATAGTTGCATTCAAAGAAATTAAAAATATAGTATAGAAATACATATAGATGTATCAGAACTACTTAATTAGCGATAATGTGTTTTTATCCCATGCAGGCTTTCTAAGGTCTGTGCTTTTTTTTCAGCCATGTTCAGACTGAGCAATCTCTGTCACAATTCTGTTGAAATCCCTTAAATAACTTTCAGAGTTAGGATCTACTTAAGTGACTGAGATGACAGAGCCTGACATTTAAGAAAAGATCCAAAGCCTATTGGTGATGATAAGAATTTTAATATGTACTTCTCTGGTGGCTTCATATCAACTTGCTTTGACTTGTGATGTTTGTGGAAGTAAATGTTGAAGAGATGAGTACATTTCTTTGACTAAAAGTTGTATTTAAATATGTTTTCCTTTTTTTCAGTATTTTATTAAGAACTATATTTTTTATGCCATTGAAATGATATCTGATTTTATACGGGTGCATCTCTTTACAATGAATTTATTTCTTTATATAATTAGGGGTTTTTTTCAGAATTGATTATAGTCAGTGTTGTTATTGAATAAGTCTCACCCAAAATTCTTCACTATTTGTGGACTAAGTGGAAAAAACCCCATCAGGTAGGGCACTGAACTGCTTGCATAAACAGTTCTTGAGAAAACTATATCTATTTTGAGTTCCCAGTAGACATTTTAAATTAGCATGAAAAGCAAGATTATTATGGTTTTGGGTACTTTGATGATCTAAGCTCCCAAGACAATGAATCCCTTGTTCTCAAAGCTTTTTCTAAGATTCCCTCACTGCATAAAATACATTATCATCTCTCTTCCCTTTCTTACCCCTCCCTTCAAACCATTTGAATTCAGAGTAGGCAGATCTTATGCTATAGATGCTATAACACTTAAAATGGATAAATTCTAGTATATGGAACATATGGAAATTATAGTGAATAATTGAAAAAATGTCCAGCCAGAGGATCAGTTTGTGTATCAAAAATTTTTTTAAAGAATCATGACAAATATGATGCTAAGGATTTAAACCAGCTGACAGCAGTAAGAGATTGACCTTGGTCTAGTAAACCATCCTGAATTTAGGGTGCTGTACATCTGCTCAGTGCACTTGAAGGTTTTGCCCTTTAGTGACCCTACTTCATCAAGAAGATGCAGATTACTTTTGATTTTTCCCAACCCAAAGCTGACTGTGTTAGCTTGATGACTTAAAAAGCATTTTTTTAAAAAAATGTTGAATAATTAATATAGCACTTAAAAGGAGGTTGATCTTTTTGATGCCTGCCACTCACTTTGCTTAGAAGATCCCAGAAGGATGTGCTAGAAGGGAAGCAGTGCAAAAGTGCAATGGCCCTTTCCTCTCCCACCTGCCCTTGGCAAGGGGGTGCTGATCTCCTTAACCTAGCTCAGAAGCCTAGATTAGCCTCCTAGTTTCATGGTATGCATCCTTCTGATCGAAGTGCCTTTGAACTTTTTGTAAGGATTTTGGTCATTTGTTCAATGTCTTTATTCTTTCTTGCAGTATTTTCTTTGAAAGAAGGATTTTGAAAACCTCTAATATTGTGGCAGTTTTCACTGAAGCTATTTCAATTTTGCAATACTCCAGCCTTCAGCATCTGGTTTTCAAACTCTGTTGGATCAGGCTGGAAACAGACATCTGAAGTGACTGTTTAGCAAAATAATAATTTTTTTTCCCAGTGGTCTAGAGTGAAAAATATGCAAATATAAATAAAATGAGCTCATTTGGAAGGCACTGAGCTTTAATGAATAACCATTTATATAACAGCAAAATAAAGCAAATTAAAATTTGTTGTGAACATAAGCTCTTTTAAAAGAACAAATTAAATGAACATACTGAGAGTTATATCATGACACTGGAGGCTTTAATAAGCTAGATCTCGGCACGAGAGGTGCTGAATAAAAGAGGAATCAAATAAGATGTTCACAGAATTGGCACATAAGTGTTCTTATTTCTAGCATAACACTATCCAGCCTAATAAATAACAATACTCTGAGTTTGAAATCCTACTCTAGTACATTACTTGAGATGAAACAGTGAGGAAAATTAATCTGTTGCCCATGAACCCTGTGCACAAATTTCCCCAGAAATGGCAGGGTTTCACTGGAGGGTTTGTTTGTTGGTGCTGCATCTATATCTGGAAATTAGCATCAAACTGAATGTTTTTCTTCTCTACAAGGCTGGATGGTTTTAAAGGCAGAAAAACAGCAAGAGGAAAATATTGCAAATATCTGCTTTGTTGTTCTGGGTCTTCCTTCCTTCCTTCCTTCCTTCCTTCCTTCCTTCCTTCCTTCCTTCCTTCCTTCCTTCCTTCCTTCCCAGCAATATGCATCCATAGTTAATGGAATTTATAGACAGCAGTTGTACACCTGTATGAATCTAGATTTTATGTGAGAATTATTTTCTCTCCAGTATCTGGAATGCTAAGTGTATTAATTTTGGCTAAATTTATGTAAATGTTGTGTTTTCTTGCATATCATGAAAACAAAGATGTGTTTCAAGTCCTTTTTCACAAGTAAATACAAGCATGTACCTGCTAATGTGAACAGGGGGCTGAACCAGACACCTCCTGAAGTCTCTTCCAACTTCATTTTATTTTGTGGTGCTGAACAGGATACTTGCAGGCTGGCACAAAAAAAAACATCTTTACAGAAAGTTTGGCAGAGTTTTATATAATAAGGAAAATAGGCAGCTTTGTGAAATTCATAAGAGATAACAGTATTGTTATCCAATTTAGATAATAAACAGTAGGTGCTTTGATGTTCCATGCTATGGAAAATATTTTGATGGATAAAGTGAATGTTAATTTTAAAAATTCAACTGGTGTTAATTCCTATATCTCTTGTGCTTATTTTTTTTCCTTTGACGTGTTATAAAAAAATTGCCAAACAAATGTCAGGCAATTAGTAACCACCCACCTAAGCTGAATGGTACAAAAGACATTTATGTGATGCCTAATTACATTTTATCTTAGCACTAATAAATCCTCTCATGAGCATTTGAGACAGGGTAGTCAGGACTTTCCTCCAACTGTGGAAGTCATCATTTTGGAAAAAGAGCAAGGGGAAATCTGCTCTAACCTGTAGTGAAGTTTTTGCCCAATCTGGATGTGATACAATTCACTTGTCTCACAGACTCAAGTCTCAAGTCTGCTGGTCCAGTAGATAGTTCTATTTTATATGAATAAATGAGATAAACTGGCAGAACTTGTGGAAATCACAGTGCATTTGTGCAGCCCTCTTTGAAAGCATCTGCAGCACACCTTTCCACCTAAAACTTCACACTGGTTCTACACTGTGGTTGTGACTTCATAGGTGCCAGTCCTTAAATTGATTGCATTGCTAATTTTTCATTTTTTGTCCTTTAACAGCTGGAAACAGTGAAAGTGATGGCCAAGAAGCGGTGAGGAAAATAAAAGAAGAAACTTTGACTGGAAAAGGTACCATATTATATAATTTCCTTTAAGAAACCATTTTTCCTCTCTTTTTGCTGTCATCTCCTTTTATATGAGGACCCCTTGTGTAATGCTAAATTTATTTTTTTTAATTTGGGGCACTGGAACAGGTTGCCCAGAGCAGTTGTAGATGCCTCCTCCCTGGAAGTGTTCAGGGCCAGATTGGATGGAGCTCTGAGCAAACTGTGGAAGGTGGAGTGGAAGGTGTCCCTGCCCATGGCAGGAGGTTTGGAACTAGATGCTCTTTAAGGTCCTTTTTTCTCAAATGGTTCTGTGATTCTATGAACTGAATTCCAGAAATAAATCTGACTCAGGGGTAAAATGCATAGGGTATTTCTTAAACAATGTTTTCAGCCTGGTTTGACTTTACTGTTTGTCATTGAAAAAGGGTTGCCTGCAAGTTACAGTCTGCCTGAGTATCTGCATGTGTAAGATTTAATAGATGGGAAAAAAATTCAGAAAACCAGTAGTTTTTGCTAAAGGGAGGATGACAGCAGGTAAGAGTGTGTGCTCTTTTACTTTGATTGTTTTAGGAGCTAACAGGTTTTTTAAAGGTCAAGGCTGCTTGATTGGGTCATTTGACACATGTTAAGAGCTTATAGCACTTCACAAATAAAACCATTTTCTTAAATATAAATAGACCTTTCATAGCAAACCTAAATTCCTATCTTTCTGTGATTCTTCTCTTATTTCCTTTAGATAGATCATCCTTCCTGATGATCTATCATGTTTGTAGAGGTATAAGGATAGCATAGCTTGATAACTAAGAGGAAAGGCATGTTCCACACTACCTGCTCTGTGATTGCCATTTGCAGTTCGTGGTGGAGGTTAGTGTAGCTCACATTTTTGTCCCTGGGTGTCACTGGGTGTAGCTCCTAATGGTGCATGATGATTCATTCCTGCCACTTTGACGCATAATTTCTTGGCAAAATTATAGAGCAGTGTTGCTAGTCCAAACTATTTGGGATCTTCATGGCTTCTTCTGAGATCTGATTCTGTTTTTTACCATAATTACTGTTATGATTATCAAAATACATGTTAATTATTGTTTTAAAAAAACCCTTTCATTATGATTTATCTTTTGGCTTAAATAAATGTGCATCCATTATAGCCTCAGGATACATATATGCTAGTTAAAAGCATCATAAATTAAGGCATAGTTAGAAGGATCATAAAAGGAAAAAGGTAATTATTACATCATTAAAGTCCTTTGCTGGAAGTTTCTGTGCAGAGACCAAAACCAGTTGGAATTAACAATGTCATGTGACTTGCATGAATCTGAATAAACCAGGGTCTGTGTTATTTTCTCCCTCTGTGTGATCACAGGCTTTTCTAGCACTCCAGTCCTTCTTGCTTTTTCTAGGTAAAGTCAGTTATAGCCCTCAGTTATAAACTGCTAAGACAAAGATGTCAGTTTGAGGAAGCTGAAAGTGTATTTAAAGTCAATTGAAGTTGTTCCTCACTGTAATTATTTCAACTGAGGTTTAAGTAATCTCAGCCTCGATTGGTTTGTCCTAAAAATAAATTGGAAGAGTATTGTCTTTTCGAAATTTCTCACTGATTGAGGAAAATTTGTATTTAAAAGTGCAATGTCCTGCGCAAAAGACTTGTTCAGATCTGAGAGCCACCCCTATGCTGCTGTTTATCCATGAATCTGCACTTTGCTTGAAATAGGATGTGTGTGTAGATACTGTGACTGTGTCCTTGGTTGGCTAGATGATGCTTGTATCCAAACCAAAGCACTGAGACAGGGCTGTGCAAGAGTATTACCTTTTCAAAGTTCAAGATGTGTTTAGTCACTGCATAAAAACATTATTGGTTGTCTTGACCCTTTCCCCCTGCTTTTTCTTTGAGCTTTTTCATGGCCCATATGAAAACACTGCTTTACAGAAACTGCTTCCATCAGGAACATCAGACTCTTGAAGGAGAACTACTCAAAATAAATAGTACTTTTGGGCAGCCAGTGTGGTCAAGGATTGGGACAATATAGCTATTATGGACAAAAAACGTGAGATGCCATCAGTTTGCTATCTAGATCTCAGATTCCTTAGAATGAAGAAAATCTCCTTGCTTTTTATCAGGTTAGACAGCAAAAGGGAGCAAAAGACCTTGTCCTCTCCTTGTTGCCTGGCTGAGCCATACATAGCACAATCATCCCCAGAGACAGCTCTGGGAAAATGCCAGGCTTATTGAATGCAAGTAATTACAATGTTTTCAAGGCACTGTCATCCTTCTCTGTCTTGGCCTTGTCTGTCTGGGGCTCTGTCTGATATCTAAGGGTAAGTAGTTTTACTTGACATAATCTGTACTTACTTCTGGGACAAGTGAGATTCAAAGCATGTACATAAGTAATTCCTATGAAGCAGCTGAGGAGCAATAGTGTGCGAACATTGCCGAGGAGGATAAAGGATAGTAATAAAAAGCCTATGCATGCAGGTGATGGGTTTTGGTTTTTTTATTGTTTTGTTTTTTGTAAAAGCATGGCAAGACATGAAAGGATGGACAAAACTTCTGAATACAGGGAGGCGGGGTGCCTGGTTTCCCACCCTGGAGGAATGGAAAGCAGAGCCAATGCCAAAAGAGAGTACAGAACTGGAGAGGAAAGCAGTTGCAGCCATTTGCTACAAAGCAGTGATGCTAAAGGACTCAGAAAATCTAAACAACGTAGCACTTCATCTCTTCCTTCCACCCACCCCCTATCCTGGGGCTGCATCAGAAACCTTCTTGGTTCCTCTCCCTGCTGATTCCAGACTGTTTAAGTGTCCTCCTTGGTTTTGGGTCTCTGCTCTGGGTAACCTATTGCAAAGTGTAAGGAGGGAGGATGTACATGGGCAGTTGAGAGGAAGTAAATAAGCTACAAGTCCTTGGGGCATGATAGACCCAGTCAGCTGAACCATCAGAACCTCCTCCACGATAAAGAAATCCCAGCCCTCAGATACCCAGAACAGGCCAGAAGTAGTGCTGCATTGTCATTAAAATTCTCACACCGACTCTATTTCCAAAAGACCAAGGGCAACACATTGCTGCAGCGTGAATCATAAAGCTGGGAGAAGCCAGGATGTGTGGACGTTTATCTTGCTTCCATTTGTTAAATTGGGAACTTGTGTTGTTAATAGTGGCAATTATATGGCTGGGAAAATTGTCGATGGCTCCGGATTGCTGCAGAGATATTCCAATTGGATAAATCTCTGTAATTTGCACATAGGGCGTGTCTCTGTTAGTGTGTCCATTAGTTAGATCAGTTGGGTGCTTTTCAGGCAACCCTCAGCTCCTGGCTGCTTGCTGAGTTCAGGTTCCTATCAGGAAGGGCACTGCAGGTCCTGTCCTGGATTCCCTTTGGACAGAACTAGCGTGGGAGGAGAGTTGCAGCAGTAACAGAGCAGTTCGTCATGGGAGCAAACTTCAGAATTTATCTGAGCCTTCCACAGACCTGCAGCAAGTGCCTATGTCAGGTGCCCAGCACAAACTGAGCTCCAGAAATGGACTTATATTGATCCAAACTGCTTGGTAGTGCAGCCATAACCACAGTTACCAGTGGTGAACAAACCTCATTGAGCTGCGGAAATGGGAGGTTTCTGTGATAAAGTCAGCTCTCAATGGTACTCAAAAAGAATCTCTCAATTTACATAACAGAGTTATATCTCCTGACTCAGTTACCCTCAGCTTATGTATCTGCTAATGAAAGCTAGTTTTAGCCTGATGATTACAAACATACAAATGTTGGAAACTCATATATAAACATGAATGAAAACTTCATTCATTCCAGCAAAGGTTCATGAATACCAATGGAATCAGCAATTAGCAAAACTTTATGCATAAATATCAAATAGCACAGTACCAGGGGAAGGCTCTCACATCCAGAGATTGGAGTTGCAACTAGAGTCAAAGAAGAAGAAAATTACCATTTAGTGAGAAAAGAAGGTGTAAAAGACATATTAAGCGTAGACCTCTTCAAAAGGAGAAGCCTGCGTTTAATCTCACCCAACATTTTTGCGGCAATTTAAATAAAACCACAATTACAAAACTACCAGCTAAATTCACAGCCTTCATGAAACTTCCATTTGAAGTCAGGTGAGAAAGGAAGAAGAGACTTTCTCCCTCAGAGCCAGAGGAATGCAGAGGTTAGCATAGTGGCAGCCAAATTGTGTCATTTACAGTCTGACCCACATCAAGACAGCGTAGGCCAAATAGTAGAATGAATTGTCTTAAAAAAATTCGTGTGCGTTTAACAAGCCTGGCGTTTTCCCAGAGTTTTCTCTAGAGATGTTTATGCTACATGTGACTCAGCCAGGGAATAAGGAGATGACAAAGTCTCTTGCTCCCTTTTGAAGTATAACTTGCTAATAAAAAAGGAATTTTTCCTTTTTGTTAGAGACCTGAGATTGAAGAATTGCTGTGAAAGAAGATGGGTTAATATAGTTGTACCACGTGTAATTACAGAATAACTCATGGGTGGTTTCTCCACCAATGCTTGCTGTGTTAGGCACCATTTTTAACAGAGCAGTCCAGCTCTTTCTGCTCTGTACCAGAGAGTTTGTTGTTAGCTTTCCCTGCAGGCTAGAGGAAGTAATCTGCTGAGTTCCCAAATTCACAAACTTTTAAACTTGGTGGTGGTATTCCCATCATATAAGCTGGAGTTGTCTTCAGCAAAGAGTTCAGTTCAGCAAGGACTGATGCCTTGTTAATATGTGCAAAAAAGTCTGACAGGACTATTTCTTTTGGATGGCATGCCAAAGGCATCATTATGGAAGCGGTTGTCCAACCAGTCAAAAATAGTGGAAAATATTTTTGTTTGAGACATATCTTTTACAAGTGTGCATAAGCACGTGTGAATTTATGCTTGCTTGTGTCACTTTTTTTTTTTTTTTTTTTTTTTGGTGGTGTTTTGAGTTGTAAAAGTGTCACGTCCTGGGCTTGTGGCTGGACCTAATGTGGTTACTTTGTCTCTTCTACCACATCCTATTGAAATATCCTTTCTCTACCAC